GGTTGAGCGAATATTAGTTATTCATCTTTGGAGCTCACTCGCTCAAGCGAGCGATTTGTCGCTTGAGCGAAAATAAGGAACTTTCGCTTGAGTGAGTGTTGTCGCTTGAGCGAAAGACGCAAAGCCAAATTTCTCCTATAAAAAGATAAAACGAGTTTTGAGAAAGGAAGCGGTTTTTGGGGAGAAGAGACGCGACTACTGCTAGAGTTTCGTTCAATCTGCATCAATTCTTCACTTCTTCCACATTTGGAGCATTGTAATGGCCAACATGAGTGACTAACTTCATTCTCTTGGAATTTAGTGCACTTCCTTTGAACTCTTTTGTATCATGGTGATATTTTGATATATTAATCTATGTTTTGATGTTGTTATTCTTATCCTTTGTACTTTGGAATGATTTATTCTTGATGTTTGGGATGTGATTGGAAAATATATCTTGAACCCTAGATCACAGTAAGAATATTTGTTACATTAATTGTCAAGAATTGAATGAATGTATCAATTGCTTAACACCATAAACCTAATGCTGAAAAATCTCTTAATTATGTGAGGAATCAACATTTATTAGGTTTTCTTATGAATTTCATGTGTGAGGAATCAATATGGATGATTTGAGTAGGTGACATCAACATTGTTTGGTTAATTGACGTTCTTAATTGATATAGTCATTACAAAAGAGGGAAAAGAAAGGAAGTCAATCATAAGTCTTTAATTGATAATTTCTACACAATTTACAGTTCTTTGTCATTTAATTTCAATTCTACTCTTTATGCAAAACCTATTTTGTTTTAATCTACTTAGTAAGCGTATAATTGAGAATTTCCATTAAAACTGTTCTTCGTGAGATCGACTTTTATTTAATCGAAATACTATATTGCAATTGATAATTTTGGTATCCTTCAACACCTTTCTTAGTTACTTTACTCAATTTAGTTTCACACTTAATGTCTTTATGAAAGAGGGTTAAAGAAATAAAAATTTGTGAAGATGGGTACAGAGAATGAGGCACCGGAAGAAGGTTGAATGATACATGTTACACACTTGTGTTTTGAACCCTGGAATGTATAAGACTTTAGGCTTTAGGCTTTAGGACCTTGGCATTGCTTGAGATCTGAACAATCCAAAAATCTGATCTAATCATTCATGTTCTCAGATAGTGCTTCAACTCCATGATTTTTATGATCCAAAGAAGGTTGGAACATAACATTGTAATAATTTAAGTTATATATATATATATATATATATATATATATATATATATATATATATATATTATCTAGCTTTTCTAAACTGTCAAATATTTACACTTACAATAAAACATTTATTGAATCGATGACAAAATCCATTCTTAATTTAAAATAATTTCATGAATTAAAATTATATTTTTATTTTATTTAAAGAAATTATTTAAAATTTATTATAAATAAATTTCTATCAATTATATTTTATTTTAATATAAACTTATATATTTTTATATTTTAAATAATATATCACATCTAATTTTAATATTAATTATATTTTATTCTAAAATTTTTATTTAAAATAAGGATAAAATTATGATTAAATTTTTATTTTTAATCTATCAAATCAATTACATCACTTTTAAACTTTCATCTCATTTTCACTCATTCCTGACCAATTTTCTTTTAATATAGACAATCACAATTTCTACTCATTTCCACTCTTTTAAATTCATCTTCAAATCAAATACACATTATATATAGGATAGGTCAAAATTGATTATGAGTTGACTTGATCCACTTTTAAAAATTTTCATACTATTTCATCAAGTTAGGTATATTTTAATATCTCCATCTTTAATGTATACGTTTTATATATATATATAATACTAGACATAAAAAGATAAAATATAAATAATAAATAGTTAGTGAATGTAATAAAATTAAATGTAATATGAAAAGAAGGTAATTAAATACATGAAATATAAACAAGTTTTATAAAGAAAAATATATGCAAAGCATACGTGCTTCTTCCCCTCCGTCTTTGAATTCATATTAAGGCATTTTTGGACGATTTACATGATGGACGCAAGGTTATTTTGGATGTGAACTTCTGGGTTTAGCTAGTGACTACATTGTATGAATAATTCTCAACCACATAAATAATACTATTCAACTGTTCTTCCATTAAGTCTCTACCATCTTTCTTCGACAGACTTATCATGACCTTTTTTTGTCTTGTAGCCTTCTCATCACTTTTGTCAATCCTAATAGATTGCTAGAGGTTGTCAAAGTTATCTTTTAAACTTTGGAAGATTGATCATTTAAATACTTTTTTTTCTTCACCACTATCTTTGTTCTATGAATATTTGTTATTATTGATTAAGATTGAAGGTAGTCCTCTAAATAAGACTTGTGTTGTAACAAATTGATGTTGTAAGTTGAGAAAAATAATTAATTTAGATTATAGATATGATAATATAAAGTCACCTTTAGAAATTTTATACGAAAAAAACTTTACCTCGTATAATTTAATGTTATAAATTTGTTTACACTTTTCTTCACATATAAGATAAAATAAAAATTAATTTTCTTTCATTATATATGTAGGTATTCTTTCAATTATCACTATGCTTTTTTTTTCTTACTTATTTTTTATCTTCAATTTTCAAAAGGAAAAATTATTTTAATTAAACGTCTTGATCTGAATTTTTTATTTCTATTAGTACAAAAAAAAATAATAAATAATATCAATAAGGTTAGTCAATAAATTCAAACAAATCCGTAAATACGTAGTTTAAGTCGAATTTTACTGAATACTAAAAATAGAAAATTAAAAAAAACTACAAAAACTTCAATATTTAAATTAATATAAAAAAATAAAAAATTGTAAATGAAATTATTTATAAATAATAAAATAAACTTATTTATAAATGTCTTATCAAAATATTTTAAATAATAAATTATATATATATATATATATTTATTTTTTTTTAATGTTAATAATTATTTTTAAATGAAATATTGTATATAACTAAGTAATCATACGTGTTATTATTATAAAATATATTTAAATAAATTAATTTAAATAATATTTTTATTAAACATAATAAATAATATAATAAATACAAAAATTACAATTTTTTTAATTATAAATATATATAGCGGTAAATGTTTACAACGCGAACAACAACCATGTTCACTCAATGACTAAACTAATACATAATAAATATTTATAATTAAAATTGAGTAAAAGAAATAATTAAATTTTTATTATGCGAGAGAGTATTACAACTCATCTCTAATCACAAAAAGAAAGGTAAAATCCTTATATATATATATATATATATATATATATATATATATATATATATATATAATTGGAACAATCATTACTATAAAAATCTTATAAGAAAAAATTTAATTTTTTGAATTTTTCTTTCGTTTATTTAAAACTCGAAATAGATATTAAACTCATATAATATTCCTATACAAAAGGTTAATTTATACTTAAATTATATCACTTGTCACCCACCATCACTTATAATTAAGAGATTAAGTCTAATCTAGGGTAAATAAATAAAAATATTTTGCTTATTTATTTTATTTTAATTTATTATTTTTCTTTATCATACTATAAAATTAAATTTATTGTGACTGAACGTGTGGCATGCATGCGCATACGGCATTTAATTTAAATAATAAAAAAAAGGATAGTAATGTTTTATAAATATAATTATTTAATATTCAACTAATAAAAATAATATAATCATCCGTGTAATATATAATTGAAAAATATTTATTTAAAAATAAAATAATATAATTTATTTCATAATAAAAATTAATGAGAAAATGGTTTATCAAAAATTAGGAAAAAATAATATTTATTCTAAAATAGAAATAATTATTCATATTTATTTTTGTAATTCATATACTTCACAATAATTATATTTGTGTGTACATCAAGACTTCTCTGACCAAAGACCACTCCGTAATCATTAAGTATATAATTCATTAAATACTATAAAATTAATTTAGATTTTTTTTTTATATTCTATAAAATTAACTAGTTTTAACTTTAATTAATAAAGAAATATCCTTCAAAATATTAAAATTCTGTTTTTGATTCAAACTATTACATATCATTGGTTAACAACTTATATATTTTATGAAAAATTATCCTAAATAACACCCACTAATATATTGGATACATGTCAACATGTCCTATCTTTTAAAAGAAACTAATCTCTAAATTATGTTTTATATCTACTTTAGTATGAACTATATAGCAAAAAAAAGTAATAATCTCAGTTTTTTCTGGGATTGAAACTAAATTTACTCGTCACGGAGAAACTAAAATAAATAATAGTTTAAATTTTGAGGGATGAAATAAAAAGTTATAAAATCAATAATCAAAATAATTTATAAAGAATAAAAAGATTTTGAAACCAGCAGCTGTTTAGATAAAAACTAGAAACCTCTGCAAACGGCAAGGTATATTCTTGAATTTCAAGACAATAAAAATTGAATTATTACATCAAAAATAATTTTATACTCTATCAGTATATAAACATACATCAACACCACAGAATAGTTTATTAATAAAAAATACGTCCATACTTAATCAAGAAAACTGCTATAACTAACAAAATTAAGTTGGTATAATAGAAAATAAAAAATATTTTGTAAATATCAAAACTGAAAACATCTTTAATTACGAATAACCGTTTATTAGTACACTCTGAAGGGTTGTATTATTTTCTAAAGGGATGAGCAAGAGTGTGTCCCCTATCCAAGCCTTACATAATCGCACACAATAAAACTTACACGAAACAATATAAATTGCTAATGGTCAATCGTGGCACCAAACGGAACCCTCTTAGAAACTTTGATTGCTTCAATTATATGATAGATAACAAAGAATGAAATATGATCATAATGTACAATATCTTCAAATCCTTTTTGCATTGGCATTATTGCTGTCCAAAGGAGACCTTAGCAGACTATAACTTATGAGCCACCGCCGGTTTCTGGGAGAGTTCAAGCAAGATTGATAGTGAAAGAAACATATGGGTGGGCATCGGAATCACCTGCAAGCCCAACCATCCCAGTACCAACTTCATCCTCAATCTTCCAGTATGCACTGCTACCAAAATTTTAAAGATAAAATATGAGCATATAAAAATAGTCACGGTAAGATCCGTAAGAATAGTAAAAGATTTCAAGTTGGGAGACTTTATTATAGACATCGCCCATACTTTTTAATGAAATCATCTGCCTAAGTTAGCTTCATATTTTAATCTTAATAATTCGTACTAACAATGGTAGAAATCCACTCCTTTTATATCCTCACACACGATTGACTTTCTCACCACTCAATCACAAAGAAATATCAAATATCTAACACTTCAAATTCATAAGGTTTTCTACCATCTCAATCTATTTTTTCCCTTTTATGTTTATAAGAGAATCTCAAGAGCTTCAATATTTCAAACAACTACTACTATCAACAACTTCCTATGTTTAAAACTGCTCTTGAACATTGGAAACTGCAACAGACCAGTATCGTATTTTTGTCAATTTTAACAAGTATAATATATTTAGCAAAAGACAAACAATTTTATTGTTTACTTCCACCCCTCTTTCATCTAGCTGTAAAGCATGTCAACATCTCAAATGAGTTTAAATTGGTCAAGGATTCAGAATTGAGATGACCCATAACAAAACCAAAAAATATGGATCTTAAATACATCTGTTGTCTGCCTCCGTAAATTTTCTTTGGCAGTGTGTAAATTTACCAAGGGCTATATTTCTAAAAAGGACATCAAAACCATTGATAAGCCACTTGCCTGTTTGTACTATCACTCAAACCTTCAAGGATAGACCGTACTTTCTTCTCAGATTTTACAGAAGGAGCTAAAACGCATGCCTGGAATATCCAATGCTCAGTGATCAGTATTTGAAAATAGGGAAGCAATGGGATTAGATGGAACTTTGATTTCAGTAGAGTATATTACCAAGAAAGACGGTGGCAGACCATATCTCAGAATGCTCTCAGCAAATAAACGCACAGCACAAAAGTGCATCCAGGAACTGAAAACCTTTGGGAAAATATATAGTAAAAAGTAGTGAGAAAGAACCATGGCATTTTAGGATAGCAAGGAAAGAATAATTGTGGAGTATATATATATATATATGAAACAAGTAAAAAATTAAGGTCAATAAATGCTACAAAATTAGGAGAGAAACTTAGGACCACTGTAACGCAAGTCCCAGATAGTCTGGTACAGAAAATGACACTTCAAAAGGTATAAGAAATCCACCTTGAAAATAGTCCTTTAACTTGGCATGTTTCTATAATCTCTTTTGTTTTGTACCACTACTTGTAAATCCTGCCTTATAATATTCTAAGGTGTTTCTACAAATTAAATGAGGTAAACAAAAATCAACACCTCTCCATAACTGGTAAAGCACCATTGCAACAGAGAAGCCCTCAATCTTTCCTGATCTTCAACCAATTTATCTAACTCTTGCTTTCGGTTTTCGTGTGTTTCTTGACTGTATTCAAAGTCACGAATCTACATACAATGACATAAAGTTAATTAAATACCTTTCTCATGAATTGATACTAACACTTGGCAATAGGTATCATGCATTCTCTCATACCACAACTTTCCATTAAAAAGTGGCAGGATTAAAATTCAAGACAGAGTACAGATATTACCAATATTATCAAATTGAAGATAGTATATGTATATTAATAAAAATACTTACTTGGAACCCTTTTTCTCGCGCACTAGTTCTAAAATTATCTGCAACACGACTGAAGAGTGTTACAGTATAAAGAGCATATTCGTTGTCTTCATACAACTTCTTAGAAGACCTGGGGACCTAAAACATTTATCCTAATCAAAATCAGAATAAGGAATAAAGCAAGGAAAAACAACAAGCTCAAAATTATTCAATAGTGTCAAAAACATAATTGGAGTATTTAGATGAATGCCAGGGATTTTGCATCTAAGATACATTAACAACTATTCAAGAAAAGTAGCAAAAGAAATTCAAATTTGTAAGAGAATGCTTGCCACATAAACTGTCAATGTTTCGTAGCTTGAAAGCCAATCCTTCTGTGAATACTTGGAAACAATTGCAAGGAGGGTAATTAAATGCTCTGAAGTTATGATGTCCTCAGGTTTTACCAGGTTGGAAAGATCACGGACTGCTAAGCTGAAAAAGTCAAGTAGGTCAGCAAAGAAATAGAACATACTCCCTCCAGTTCTTAATAAAAGACATATTTTAGAAGAAATTGACGGTTCTCTCTTTATAAGGTATTTTATAATTTCTATGCAAGGTAACTTTATTGATTAATAGTGAGACGGAAATTTTAGAAGTCGTTAACAATAAGGGTACATTCTTTAAAAATCAACAAAGTTGACTAAATTAATAACTATATCAATCGGAACAACATTCACACACCTTCCAGTTTGCTTTCGGTTGATAGCATTAAGCTGACTACGGATATTATTGTACTCAGAAACACGAACCTGGAATGAAAGAAAAAGTTTCAAGGGCCAAATAAAATAAAATCTGCAACATGCAAAATAAGCAGGGATATAGTTCTTTAATATACTATTATTAAGGTAAGAACAAAATTCACAATTGGGGGCGACAGGGACAACTTTAGTGGGGTCTCTTGTAATCAATGGCTAAGATGGGTGTGGATCGTAATAAATTGTCACGTAACTTAAGGATCTAAATGAAGTTATTTATACATGAGACCAAGCTGTAATTAATATCACAGATGATGACCAGAACAGTATCAAAGTAAAATCCACAAGACAAAGAGGCAGAGGGTATTAGAGAATTGGACACAAAACAAAAGTGTGTCCTCCTTATCTTCTGGAATAATTTAGCAATGAGCCTGTTATATGATATTGGACAAACTAAGGTCCTCTAACTACAAGTCACATAAAGCATCAAGGGTCTATAAATCTGATAAAGGTGAACATGGAACATGTTTGCATGAGAGAAAGGATTATCTATCTGTGACTTTGGAAGCTAAAACAAAGAGTAAGGTGAATCCTTTGTCATTTATATGATGATGAACCATCATCACAAGTGTGGGATTGACAGGTTCAATCGTGCTCCTTTTCCTCGCATGACTACAAAACCAACCTTAGATTGATTTAAACAAGTACCAAACTCACCACAGTTGACAGTTCGATAGCAGCATCACAGAAAAAGGTTGCCCAATCAGATGTCAAGTTTTAACCTTTAATTAAAGTCCAGGGAAGCCTAAAGCACAAAACATATTGAGTTGAACAAACATACAATTGATTAAATTGCATGTTCCTCCTGAATTCTACCCATCTAAAATGATGGGTTCACTTTGGGAGGAAAAGTGAGGAATCTAAAATATTGATATATTAATAGTTGAGATCCCTCTCTTTTCCTTCTTAATTGAACACCTTCAATTTATAGTAGCCAAATTTGTTCTGCCTCAACATCAATTCTTAGTTTAAGCACAGAGAATCCCTCCTCCCCTCTCCCTAAGCCCAAAAATAAATTGGAAAAACAAGTTGTACACTACGTGAATCATCAACTCCACCTTGCATAATAACAAGCTTTCTGAAGACACACTATTAACAACCATATACATGGACAGCAACTACAGAACAAACTTGCAAACGCCAACAACCTAAGTTATTGATAAGGTAAGCAAAACAGTTACTATAACTTGCTAGTCGCTATCTCACTATAAACTATAATGGAATGATTCAGCGCTGCAGAGGCCACCAATAGCCAAAAAATAAAGACACCACGTGCTATAACTACCCATCTCCTAAGGTCGTATTACAGTTGATGGAGAAAGTGGTTAAACTGCTTTGATATATCAGCTATAAGCCGTTTTCATAAGCTATCCTGTAACATCATAAGCTATTTTCATGCGCTCTACCAAATACTATACAAGTGCTTATGCTATATGTCGAAGTAAGTTGTACATAACTGCTACCAAAAAGGGCATAAATCAAACAAACCTTGAGATCATCCTCAATCTTTGCCACTTGACTGTGAATGCCATCCACAATCTCCTTCAAAGGCGACATGGTGGGGTACTTGGCCTCATCCCAAACAAACCTGAACCAACAAAAAACACAAAATAAACAAATGCAACTCGAACAAACAAGAACAATCACAGATCAAAGGTGAGGACAAATGGTGCTCGAAAAGGGAAGCGAACCTGGTCAAGTAGGAATCCACGGGGACGCCGTCTACGGTGAGACCGCCGCTGTCCACGCCGGAAACTCTCTGAAGCTCCTCAATCTGGCGCCTGATCTTGTGCGTCACTCCTTCAACGAAATTGTTCGACTAAAACGCAACAGAGGAAGCAGTTAAGCAAATCGACACGCGAAATAAGAAAAAAAAAATAAAGGCTCCGCGGATTGTTGAGTAACCTTGGCAAGGTCATCGCTGAGAGAGAGGAGAGAATCTAGGGTTCCGACGCGGAGGTTAGGGATGTTGAACTGCGAGCGAGAATAATAAACGATAAAAAATGGCGCGAGAGTTAGAGAGAGGAAAAGAAAGCGAGAGAGTATTCATGTTACTCTGTAGAGAGGAGTATCGAAGGAATGTTTGGAGATTCCTTCCTGAATTTGGTTCCAGAGTTGAGATGCGGAGTTGTGAACGGGAAGAGACACTGTCCAGTACTTGTTCGCCATTGCTACCGCCCTTCTTTCCTTCCTCTGCTCCGATCGGATCACAACGCAATCACACGCCAAAACGCATTGGCAGCTAAGCAAAACGAACCAATGAAAGTATGTCCCACCTCGGCTGCTACTACCGTGTCATATTTCTTCCCTCCCTCTCTCCCACCCTTATTACACGTTTATTGGTCCGGTAAAAACAATTGGAATTTCTTACACGTTTATATTTAATTTTTTATTTATTAAAAAGTTTATAAGAAAAGTTATAAAGAAAAAACGTTGGTAGTTAAATATGATTATATATATATATATATATATATAATGCGTGGATAAAATTATTGACGTTAAATATAGATGAAATATATAAAAGATATTTGAATTCTTACCCCACTTATTTAAATCGTTAAATTTTTTTATTTATAAAAATATATAGTGTTTTAATTTTGATATATGATTTTTATTTTATTATTGAACAATGATTAATGTTAGTCTCTAATAATTTTGTAAGTTGATTTTTCTCTTATTTCATATATGTTCGATGATTGCTTAAAAGACTATAATATTTAGTCTCAATACACATTAAAAAACTTCAACTACGTATCAATATCTAATTATAAGTCAAATAATAATAATCAACTTCACCCTACTCTCGTTCGTAGCCATGTATCAGAAAGGTGGTCAAGGTCACCAATGATATTATGATGGTTTGAAATCTTCATCCCAAAACTAAGCAACTTGACAAAGCAAAAAATGAATGACTTCTGCAAACTCATATTCCCTCTCATCAAACTAAACAAGCAGCTAAAGAGCATCAACTAGAGGAGAAACTTAATGCATTCAAGAGCACATGTGAATAAATATCCACAACTTGTAAAACAAGTGTATGAACAATCATTTGTAATTAATCATTTTGTAATTGATATAAATATCCTTTTCGTAAGTAATAAAAATTGCTAACAATCAATTCATGTAAGAGTTATAGAACATGAAGACTGAGACGAAGATTTCTTTATATATACACTCAAAGGGGTTGCACTATAATAATAAAATGACTTAATAAAGTGAACAATATATTTGTATGAAGAAATGACAGGTAAATTTAAAGTTTTATTTCCAACTAGAAGATCCTATAAAACCACCTCATCAACCTTTGAGAACATAAAACATATAAAAAATAATTCTTACAAAGATTATACATAGATTTGTTCCACTTAATCTCATCATGCATGACTTGGAACCAATTGTCATCATGCATAAGATGAATAAGATGATGACTATATATAAACCCATTTATAGATAGTTTGTACACTATATTTAATATATCTAATATAATAATGGGAGAGGGCACAAAGGATATCGAGGAAGAGGTCGAAGATATTGAAACGGTCATGAACGAAGCAACCTCCACTACAAAATAAGCACGACAAAGGATGACAAAACAGAGTTAGTACTGTCTCGTCTTTGACCCGCCAAAAATGGGACTGGCAAGGCTGAACTATCATAATCGGGACGAGTTTGGCGGGTTTTCTATATAAATTTTTTTTTTAATATATATTTAATTATATGAATAATTTTTAAGAATTTATTTGTTAATTAATATTTTTATTAGATAAGTTGAAAAATTATTATATTTATATGTCAAAATAACTAATTTAAATTTAATTAATTAATTTTTATAATTTAAATTATAAAATTATAATATATTTAGATATCTCGATAATATAACAAAAAATATAATATTTTTAATTATAATTATTTTTATTTTAATATATAAATGTTATTTTAAAGCGGATCACCGGGACAAGTCAAAGCAAACTGGCAAATTAAAACCTCTAACTCACCCTGCTACATTTTAGGTGGGCTACCAGCCAAATCTAGTCAATTTTGTCATCCCTACTAATCAACCACAAATTCAATCAAGCAGTCAAGACACAAGTTGAGTTATAAACACAATCATTGTTTATTTCGTAATAGGTGAAGCAACAAAGGTGCCAAGAAAAAGACACTTATATGTTGTGTATCATGTACAAACTATAGCAAGCAACCAAATATAAAATTTTTCCCACAATCATGTTTATGAAAACGGACTACAACAACTATGACCCGTCACAATATAATCGAGTTGTCATCATTATTACAATACATAATTTTGAACTTAAAAAAACTCTTACAAATCAAGGGAGCTCAACTAATGTGTTTATTGGTCCACATTCCTCAAGTTTGGTCTTTTAGACAACTTAGTGAAACCTTAGCCGAACTCATTACTTGATTTTGTAGGGGAGCATGTGCATAGTAGAGGTTACATATATCTACTCAATAGTATTGATGAACAAGCAAAATATCATAGTGTAATGGTTAAGTGCATCTTGGTTGATGTTGGCACATCCTATAACACTTAAAGAACATGAAATAGTTAGCCAACTTGGATTAGTAATATAACCTCACATAGTTATGAAGTTCTCCCTTAAAAGATAATAATTTTATTTTCACAATACAATCTAATCCACAGAAGCAAGAAATTATTATATCTAAAGTTTGAAAGTAGTACCATACTCAGTACTTGTAATAGCATTCATATGCAAAAACAAGTCAGAGAATGCATGCTACCATATCATAACATAAACATGTTTATCTAGATATGCAAGTGGAAACCGATAATGCATGAACATTTTGATAAACAAAATTTAGATTTTTAGGTCAGACCTTCACCAGGCCAAGTGACTCATATATGTTACACGACTAATAAATTTATCCACAACTTGAACAAGTTCTGCTTAATTATACTAATTTGTTTGCATAAAATGCAGCTAATATAAATTGTCTATTTTGATTGAGAAAAATTTTGTTACCCAAAAAAATGCAAAATAGGGGAGAAAAAATATCGAACTGTTGAAAAGGAAATTAACAAACTTTTACAAACCAACCTCATTAGGGAATTTACACGTACAAAACTTGAAGAATTTTTAATAGTAATATGTTTGCATGGAATGTAGCTAATATAAATTATTTATTTTGATTGAGAAAAAAACCAATTACTCACAAAAATGTAAAATAGGGGAGGAAGGATGTTAAAATGTTGAACTTGAAATTAATAAACTTTGACAAGCCAACTTCATTAGAAAAGTTACGTATATCCCTTAGTTAACTAATGTGGTACTTGTTAAAAAGGGTGGCAAAAAGTAGAGAATATGTACAAATTACACCGACCTAGATAATACATGTTCTTTGTTGAGTATAAATCAACTTGTAGATAGTGCATTCGGGCATAGCATTTTAAGTTTCTTAGTTGCATATTCTAAGTAAAATCGAATAAGATTGTACCCCATGATAAAGATAAAACATTTTTCATTACAAGGGGCACCAATTACTACTATAAAGTAATGTCTTTTAGCTTAAAATATGCATGAGCAATACACATATTTTATGAGATAAGATGATACAATATGCATCTTAATATAGAAAAGTGTGTATTTGAAGTTGGTCGAGGAAAGTTCCTAAGGTTTATGATTACCTAGAGGGGCATCAAGGCAAACCTGAACAAGTGCAACATCATAATGGAAAGCTCCAAAATGTCAAAGAAGCACATAAATTAAATAGGAAGCTTGTTGTATTGACACCGTCTTCCATTAACTTCAATTGGTACATGTTAAAGAACACCAACAAACTCAAAAATACTTCATTAATTGGGTACTTTAACCACTTAAAAAAATATATCCAAATATAGAAATGTTAATTCTTGCCTCGATTAACTTGACTCGAAGATACTGACCATACTTTCTAAGTTTTCATATTATTGTGAAAATGGATTGCTCAATTAAACAAATGTTACATATATCAAAGCTTGTCAGATACATTATAACATGTTCGATTGAAATCTCCAAATTAGAGTTTTGATTTGGAAGTTGGAGGCCTATGAAAGCTAAATTTCTCACAGATTTTCTCGTTAAGGTATCTCAACTAGAAGAAAAATATGATTTTGTGGATTTTTAGTGTAGATGGGTCATATTAAAAAAAAAAAAAAAAGTGAAGCATAACTAATCCTCAAAGCTTAAGGTTCAAGCGAGGTAGAAGTAATACTCAAAGTGAGGTAGATGTAACGCTTAATAATGAAACTCTCATTAATCAAAGACATAGAAGTTAAATGTCTATTCTACCCAAAGAATTTAAAACTTGTATCAACATAAACATTATGGCGAATTCCAAGTTAAAAAACTTATTATTCTAAATATTATTATATAACTAGAGCTTACTAGATAACATCAACAAAGTAGAAATTATCATATACATAGAGAAAAGAACAAAAAAGCTAACATCTTATCCAAATTAGTTAACACTAAAAAATCTACTTAATATTAAACACTTATTTAGGAAACATTAATTTCTCAAAGTTGAGACCATAACGATATCTTTAGGATAAATATAAGGAAACCAACATAAATGACATCAATTATATAATATTTTTTAAGGCATTTTATTAAATTATATTGAAAAGATTAGAAGAATTATTATTTAATACGTAAAGCACAACCATAATTTATTCTAAGAGGTATTTCCCACGGAATAGCGCGACTTAGCGTTCAAACCTATTTATGACTGATTCATAAGGAAAGAAAATTTAATCTACCTTAGTTTTATATTTTAATTTTTATTAAGAGATGTTTATACTCTATTTTATTTAATCCTAATTAGCTCTTACGTTTATCGATCTCAAATACTCTACTACTCAAACTATTTAATTCTATCGAATTTTTAAAAGTTTAAATTTTTATACTATTATTAATTAACATTAACTTTATTAATTTTATTAATCTTAATAATTTCTCCTATATATAATTATTTTCTAAATATTTAAATAATATAAAATAACAATACAAAATAATACAAAAACCTACTGACTAGATTAATCACAACATATTGATTCGATGTAAAATGATAGATAAAATAAAAACTTAAATAAATAAATTTATGATGGTACCAATAATAATTAATAGAGCGATGGTACATTCAAAATGTTGTAATAAAATATTATAACTCTTTATAATTTGTATATTAAACACTGACAAGTGAAATACTTTTATAATATTTTATTTTTAAAATTATTCATTGATATTATAGCTAACCATCAATATTAATATTATATTTTTAATAACATAACTAAGAACGTGGGATTAAAGCTTTTAAATTAAACATATTTTAATATGATAAGTTAATAATATAATTAATATATATATATATATATATATATATATATATATATATATATATAAAACTAGAATCATAACCCTCAATCCTGGAAAAATCCATTAATATAAATATATATATATATATATATATATATTATAATAATAAAATAATAATATTATTATTATTATTATTAAAGACTTTTCATAATTATGCGTAGATTTATTTACTTTTAAAATTATATATTTTTAATTATATTTAATGATATAATAATAACTTATAAATATATAATTAAACTTAATATAATTAATAATATTTCATTTAACTATTAAATATATAAATTCAATAATATAATAATTAATTCATTAATCTACAAAAAAACTAAAAAAAAATAATGGACAATATATAAATATTACAATTTATACTAACCAAATAATTTGCAAAAACTTTTTTATTGTTATAATTTGGGAAAGTTTTAAGATTTAGGATTAAATTTTATAAGATTTATCACAAGGAAAAAATCGTTTTAGTGATATAATATTTTTTAATATTTTATAACTAAACTTAAACCAGAATATAAATTATTTATTTTTATTAAAAAAATGATAAAGGTCTCTTTGTAATCCACCAATTGTTAAATACATGTAAAACTAGTAAGGTTTAATAGAGATATTTCATGCTTTCTACAATTACATTCTTATTAATATAATGGTATAAAATACGGTTAAAAAAATTGTTTTTATTTTGTAATCAAATTTATATAAAATGAATACTAATGTGTAATCAAAATAAAATAACTTTAATTTTAAATTAAATAATTATTTAATTCTATGTATGAAGTAATTTTAATTATATTTTTATATTAAAATTCACGAATAAAAAATAGAAAAGAATTTTTTTATCATACTTTCATGCTTCATGCCGATTATATGAACGTGAAATCATCTATAATATTAATCACATGAACATGAGTGACCATAACATTGATCATGTCAATGTAAAATCAACCCTAACGTTAATCATATGAATCTGAAATCACCTATAACATTAATCATGTAGACGTGAGATCAGCCATAACATTATTATGAATATAAGATATACAGTTTATTCATACCTTTAATTATTATACAATTATATTATTATTTTTTATTTTGTAAATATAGAAATGATTAAATAATATAAAAAAATATTTAACAAATTATAATATTTAATAAATTAATTTTAATTATAACTTTGTCGAAAAAAAATTAATCATTGTAATAAAAAATTGTAATGTTTTATAAAAAAACTACAATATCTTTATATATATATATATAACATTATTCTAATATATATATATATATATATATATATATATATATATATTAGAATACTGTTATATTTATATATATTAGAATAATGTTATATAAATAGATATAACATTATTATAATATTTATATTACATTATTCTGATATATATATATATATATATAATTTATTTTAAAACAGTAACACAATTATTTAATTTTGTGATACATAATACGATTATATATATATATATATATATATATATATATATATATATATATATATATAAAATATCGTTAAACGGTTTATATATATATATATATATAATTTATTTTAAAACAGTAACACAATTATTTAATTTTGTGATACATAATACGATTATTTATAAATAAACTTTGAGAATAATTTATATTGATATTAAAAAAACATGTAAGAAATACATCACATATAGTAAGTAGTCTTACTCGTTCGTAGAAGAAAGAGACAGAACATCAGTGACTACCTTTATCGTACACAAATAGTTTTGGCGGCGAAAACAACAAAAGAGTACTTTAGTAGTACCCGCATAAAGAAGCATAGTTTTGACTGGGGGTTGACGTTAGTTTGTCGTTGCGCGATGCTTTAATAGAATTCATCAAGCGACAAATTGTCGACCGACCCGAATGTTTCAGATGGTCCAATCCTCGGCAAATTGGTCATTGATCCACCCAAAAAGTCAAGTGGCGAGTCATTTGAGAAAGAAGTGTCATATATGAATGACATGCCAGAATTATTAACCTCATAGGGTATGTTAAAACAAGATTCGGGTTTGTTCGCCTCCAAGTCACTGCCGAAGATGTCATTGACAGTATCATTAGTTTGTTCCATAAATTCATCCTGATCCGAACCCCTTTTAGCCTGGATAACCTGCGTAGATGTAATACGTTAAAAAAACATCGCAATTAAGAACCCGACATAATGTCCGACAAAATGAATATATAACGAATTTTTTGACGGCACTAACATAGTTATTGTTTTCAAAGTATTGGTAAATCATAATGGTATCGCCAGATCGAAGGCCATGTGTGCTGACAAAGTCTCCTGAAAATAATAACATTTCATAATTTCAAAATTAAAATTCTAAAGTTAACCGTTGTCGTCAACCGACCGATGTCAGAAAATAATTTACTATATATAGAAAGTTACCTGTGTTTTCAAGTACGTACATACGGCTGTTGTTATTAGGCCAAAACCTGCATGGTTTAAATGCGAATACCATATCATATGAATATGTTTTGTTTCCAACAATTAATTGAAATCAACCTTAAATTATAAATCCAGTAAATAATAACAAATTTAATTATCGTAAAATATTGTCACCATGCATACAGTATTTAGTTTATTTTGTGGCATTCCAGTACGCCAACTATCTAAACATAACAGACCTGTACTTGAAGTTCCAGACATGGATGCCATCTTTGTCATCCATGTTGATTAGAATTCCCTCTTTTGATTCCAATGATGGCAGGAAAGTCTCAGCAGCTTTCTGCAAGTTATAATTTGTTATTTTGTTCAGAAACTCATTAGAATAGAAAAGAGATGAAACAGTATCGGTGTAAAGTATCAAACCTTTGGCAATACCATTCTCCTTAGGGAGCTAACATCACTGTTCTTCAGTTCCTTCTGGAAAAGGAATCTCAAGCCTCTATTATCAATTTCCTAAAAGCACATAAATCAAATTAGGCAATTTCTCAAATAAAAGCAACATGGAGCTAAGACATTCACCTAAAACCCACTGAAAGGTGGAGTAAATTATAATTAATTATGGCAAACAAAGCAAATCTTGTGTAAGTAAGACATCGAGTCCATATGCTAATAGTGGTAAAGAGGCAGAGTACCCAAAGCATTGTCCAGCATGCCTAATACATGTCTTGAACTACACAATTTCCCAAATATGAGCCGTCAATATCCACTAATCATCAATTTTAATTTATTTTTTTATTTCTTTACAAACAAGCAAAAGTAACTATAAAAAGTTTAAGCTTCCAAGATGGACATTAATTAACATTGAGGTAATACAATGAGAGTAACCATGTACTACTATGTACTTGTACTATATTTGGCAATTTTACAATAATAAGAGATATAAAAGGTTGAAGATAGATTTACAAGCATCACAAACATCTATTCCAAAGTTTTTCAAAACAGAAACATACGTAAGTCCACTTAGACATTTTTTATAACATATATAAGAGAAAGTATTAACCAAATAAACATATAAGATAAATGATATTTCTTTTGCTCACTGCTCAACGATGAGGCTAATTCCGTACTTTCATATTTATCATGCTCCTTGTGATAAAAGCCTGTTCCTCTTTTAGGTGTGTTTGTAAATCTTTTTTGGTAGCACAATCTGACACAAGGTTTACAATATTCGCAAGCCATAGGCAGTAAATCAAAGTATGTTGGACTTGTGTTTAAAGACTTCATTTCGCTACTCGAATGAGTTGAAGAAAGAATTATGATAGCCCGTTTCTTCTCTTTTATTTCATTTTTAACTTGTTCTCACAAGAGATTCTCTTCTAAACTTCGTTCTTCATATATTCTCTTCCCTTTTAGACTCTTTTGCGGTGGGGAGTGTTTAATATAAAAAAACTCAGTTCATTTCTTGACTGGAGTGCCACTTTTGCCCTCCATTATCACCCATCCTACCACGTAGTTCCCAAATTGAAGATCAAACAAGTAAATCAAGTTCTGTCCAAACAAGGAAATATAGTACTAAAATATCTCAACGAGAAAGGTATATATATATATATATATATTAAAGAACTTTGCATTTAGCATTGGAAAAGATTATTCACAAAATAATTATTTAAATACGAAGAGAGAATCACGAGACAATAAACACAAGCATGAAAAAAAAAATCATAAAAAAGTTCAATAAAACTCAGATTCAATTCTTTTTTAATGTTTCCCAGTAAGAATCGGAGTTTCGTCAAGATAATTTATAAAAAAGTAAAAAGCTTTAAATAAATTGCAATTTTAATCGGAAAAACCCTGAAAAAAACACTTAATTTATGAGATCCGAAAACGGGGTTAGAAAATTATGAGCAAGACAACAAGCAAAGACATAGCAAGAATACAATTGAAAATGGAGGTATGTATATAAGATAAGATGAGATCTTGTTAAGAATGAAGAATTAGAGAAAACGAAGAAAGGGCAAAAGGGGTAACTCACACGTGCTGCCTGGGGAGGGGGAGGGGGAGGGGGAGGAGGAGGAGGAGGAGTGGCGGAGGAGGGTGGCACGTGCGAGGACGAGGAAGGAGTTGAAGATGGAAAAGTAGCCTGTTGCTGGTTGGAGGAGAAAGGGTTGTTGAAGTGGTTCATGTGCATAAACAAGTTGGGGTTGGGGTTGGTGGTGGATCTTCGTTGCCTGGGCATTCTCTTCTTCCTGTTCACAGTTCCGAGGGTGGTAACCGCAGCGACGAGACCAAGGTCATTAGCGTCGTGGATCCGACCCGACCCGTGAGTTTGAGGTACGCTGCTGCTGCTGCCGTTGTTGTTGAAGATCCCGGTATCGTTGTTGGTGTTGGTGATGTTCCCTGGGGTGGTAACAAATCGAAGCTCGGCATCAACACCTGCCACGGAAGCACAGGCCTCGGTTTTGTGAAGCAGCTTCTCTCGCTGTCGCTGATCCATCATCATTACCTTAGGGTTTTTCTTTTTTTTCCCGGGTTTGGAGAGACACACACAGTGATTTTGGTTTTCTGTGACTGTAGTAGTTGGTTCTCTTTCTCTCAGTCTCAGTGTGTGTGCAGGTAGATATAGATAGATAAGGGCGGGTAAGGACGACGCTCGGCAATCACGAAATGGGTGTGGGGTTTGGTGTTCTAGATATCAATGGTGGACTCTCTTTTACTCTTCTCTTCCCCCAACTCACCCTCTCTCTCTATATATATATATATATTTTTTTTTTTTCCCTTTGTTTTGTGTTTTTCTATTTTTAGCAAGGATTTTTTGTGATTACAGGGTCTGGTTTATATGACATTTGTTTATCCTGCATTCACGCCTCACCCCATCCTCTCCCCTTGCTTCCTTTTACTTTTACCATAATAAGTGAATGCACTCTCTCTCTAGTAGATGGGTTGGGTTGTGCTAGGGTAATGGGTTAATCAGGGTGGTGACCAGATGTGAGGAGTGGATTCATGGAGGGTTTTGGTTTTGGCACTTTGCGCTGGTTACAATAATGTGGAGGGAGAGAGAAGAGTTAATGAGGGTAATGTGGCTGATTGTGAATAGGGAAGAGGGGGGGTGAGCAAACTAGGGTTAAGGGAGATGGGTTGGGTTTGCGCATTGGGGTTGGCGCTGTTATGGTGGTGGTGGTGGTGGTTAGAGAGTGGCCAAGCAGGGAGTGACGGATGGATGGTGAAGACACAGGAAACATGGGGGTCGATAACGCCCTCCACCTGTTGCAAAAGTTCTGAATACCTACAACAGAAATCAATGGCGTTTTTCGATTTGTTTTTGTATTCGGATCCCTCTCGATTTGATTTACCACAAAACCACACACAGCACCACATTACCACATACACCCTCACACGCATTCTTCTTCTCTCTCTTCTGGGGGAGGAGAAAGGAGGAGTGTTGGAGGGTTCTCACTATGCACTTCAAAGTTGAAAACTAGGGTGCATTGCATGGGGGCTCAAAGCTCAAATAAAAACACTCCTTAAATTGTAGTGTAACGTTGGGTGTTGAGTGCATGCTGCACTGCTTCACTGAGAATGCGCCAAGTGGCAGAGAGTTTGATAAGGTTGCACATGGTGATTTGATTTGAATCTGATGGAGGGGATACGAACCACGTGATTGTTTTTTAATCTTTAGCGCCTGTGGGGCGCGCAGCAGAGTATAATTGCGGATTTTGCTGTTCCTTTACTTGTACAGTTGCTTCTCTTCTGAGGTCATATGTGGATTCCCAATCTCGCTCAGGACTCCACCTGGACACCATGCACAGGTGCTGTTACAAACCAATTAATGACAATATTAACTCCTTCTAAGCTTTATTATTAATACCTTTGCTTTTATCAGTTCCCACTTGCAACAAATCCTATCCCAAACTGCTCCAACCCCATTTTCACTCATCAATTTTACACGACAAACATTAATTCAGATTCCTTTGACCTCTCCCCTTCAGCTTCAGCAACTCCGTGAATTTCAAAATATTTACTCCCTCTGTTCCAAACTTCTTTTTGGTAACCCCAATTTCACTCTCTAAAGATTCCACCTTTCTATACCAGTCATTGTTTTCACAGGAACCATATACCTGTTAAATACTTTTTCCTTTTCTTTTCTTCCAAACCAACCCTACATACATTACTTCACTTTCTTACTCATATTGAACGCCTAATATTATTGTCTTTAGATTTAAACTGTAATCATTAAATATTTAAAGCGTATTCATTTTACTCTTTAATCTCTCTCAACACCTACCCTAACTTAATCACTAGCTTGGTCCCTTCCTAAGATAAAACCCTGTCATACAACCCATGTACAGAAATATCCAAAATCTGTTTAATGTATTTATTACATTCGAATTAATATGTCAAAATTTCTACGCGTAAAGATGCAGCTTGTGGTCACTCAATCCTTTCTTTTTGAAAGAAGGAATACAAAGAATGGAGACAAATGAAACTACCACTCTACCATCTTCACATTTATCGGATCAGTTTCATTATTTAATTACTTTTACAACGAAATTAATCATATTACATTCATAGTTTGTTTTTCTAACTCGCTCACAGTTTTTTTTTTCGTATGGTAGGAATTGTTTCTTACATTAATTATTTCTAAAACGTCTCTTTTTTTTTTCTTTTTTACTTTTCACATTATAGAAAAGGTAAACTATATTTTTGTGTTTCTAATTTTTTGTTATCTGTCTTTCTCTCTATCCCTTATAAATTAATGAATTCAACCCTCCAAATTTTTAAACAAAATATCGTAAAAAGTTATAAACACTTTTATTTCAACCAATACACTTTTAAACAAAATACTAGAAAACCTAGTATAGGTAAAAAAAATTAAAAAAAAAATTGAGGGTGGTATATATTGAGAATAAGAAGTAATTAACAAATGTAGTCCACTATCTGTGAAAAAATAAATTGAAACCCGAAAATATGAAATCAATTATTACCGTGTCAGATTTGATACTTAATTTAAAAATGGTTAAAACAAGATAAACTAACAATTAATATGGTTAAACATATAAAACATTAATTTTAAACAAAATTCAATCAATACATTTTTAATTATTGCATCTCATTTATATGTTTAAGAGTTAAAGACTAATCATAATTTATATTTTTTTCGTAATAATTGATAAGCCTTTTAAATATGAGATGGTGATAAAATTGAATGCAAATTCTGGATGATATACTTCAGTTTTAGAGACTAATCTTGATGATATTATTACAACTAACTTGAAGTTATTACATATTTAAAAAATGAAATGAGTACATTATATGCGTGTAAAAGGTTAGTATTAAATTGAAATAAGAACATCTAATATCTCTATTTTTATGCAATATTTCAATTTTATTAATTCTTATTCAAGTCTCAATCTCAATCTCATATTTTCAACCAAAAATATAATTTCATTTGCATAAACAATTTGTTTTTTATTGTGTTTAGAAGCGTAAACATTAACCTTCGTAATCAACTTAAAAAAAATATATCAATTATTTCTTTAGATAAAACAATAAAAATAAATTTATTAATAAACAAAACATTCTACATAACATTCTCAAAAAAAATTTAATGTCAAAATTATGTTATATCAAGTTAAGCCAATTTCGTGTTTCAGAATATATGATATAATATTTGACATTCAACATACAGTAATTCACATTTTGATGTCAGAACAAGGGTTGACTTCTCTCTTAGATCAATAAATGAGTAAATGAGGTAGTTGTGAAAACCCTATTACATTAAAATCATTGATAGAGTAAAAGAACATGTGAAAAAGCTTAAATCAAATACAAATGTATGTGTATAAATGTATTTTTAGTTTCCCATAATTCTTACTTTTAACTTGTTTTTAACATAATTTTAAGGAAGTGCTAACGAGAGTTATTTTAAAATAAAAATAAATATTTTATTATAAATGTTACATCTAAATTATTTAGAAGTGTGTAAAATTGTTTATATAAGCAGTTCTCACTAAATTTTAAATAATTTTGTAGAACCTAAATAATTTTGTAGAATCTATAATTAAATATTTAATTTTATTTTTAAGTAACTTGTTAAAAACTTTATTTAGACTCAACTTCACTCTAACAATTGAGATTTTCTTATTCAAACTGTGATCGAGATTTTAGGTATAATTTTTATTTTAAAGTTATGAAATTTCTAATAAGATATATAAGCACAATTTTTTCATTATTTATATTCTTCAGTTTCCAAATCCATTTAGAGTGAAAGGACTTGAGTTTCAAAAAGAAAAACAAAACAAAAGACGTCTTATTTTATATGATATAATATTTGACATTCAACATACAATCGTTCACGTTTTGACGTAGCAACAAGTGTTGACTTTCCTCTTTAGATCAATAAAATAAGAGTAATTCTGAAAACCTATTACATTTTAAGTCAATGATAGAGTAAGAGAACATCAAATGCAAATATATGTGTATAAATATTTTTTTAGTTCCCAAGTATACATACCTTCAACTTGTTTTCAATGTAAAATCTTAACTTGCTTTAATGTAAATATATCTATAAAAAAAGTTGTTTATGAATAAAAATGACTATTTTATTATGAATCTTATATCTAAATTGTTTAAAAGTGGAAAAAATAAGTTATATAAATAATTCAGACAAAGTTTTAAACAATTTATACATAATATTTATAATAAAATATTTAATTTTATTCTTAAACCATTTTTATTAAAAACTTTATTTAGAGAGGTCCTTACTCAACTTCAATTAAGTTTTTACTATACAAAATGTGATTGAGGTTTTAGGTATGGTTATTATTTTAAAATTAATTTTTTTTCATATATATATATATATATATTTTCATTATTTATATTTCTTCAATTTTTTAAATGGAAAGACTTGAGTTTAAAAAAAAATAAAAATAAAAACAAAAGGCAACTTCTTATTCTTTAGAATACTCTAATTAAGCAAAAATTCTAAAGTAAAGAACTTAATAATGATTTGTTTGACTAAAAAGTAAATAAACATTAATAATCCGGCTTAAACACTTTGTATTACTTACACAATTCAATTTTGTGAAGATTTTCTAAAATCACAAATCAATAATATCTATGTTAATTATTTATGGACTTATTTTGAAAAACTTGGAGAAATATAATTTATTTAAAAAATTGTTATGTAATTAACATTGCTTAGGTTTACCAACATTTATAAATATGGTAACATATAAAATATAGAAACTCAACCTAAAAAAACATAAAAATAATATTGTAATATATAAATATATATTATTATAAAATTAAGTTAGATAATCAATTTTAACCTAGAAAAAGGCGAAAAGTCCCTGTACGAAGATGCAGCAGTAATTTTTCAGAACAAACTTCCAAGGGAAAAATAGAGACTAAGAGTGGGGATTACATATAAAACTAAGAACAAGACGAGAATGTGCCTAGATTAGACGAGAGAGGCGTGCAAGAGAAGAAACTTAAAATTTAAATAATATAAAATATATTTCCTTTTTATTTTATTTGGGGGGACACAAATAATATAATAATAATATTAGGATAATAAGACAGAATGTAGGGCCAGAAACACCTATATAGGTCCCCATGTGTCCCTGCCACTCTAACATGCTTAACCATGATACCAATTTATGAGTTCATTGAGATTTGAATTGAATCAGTTGAGAAATAACATTACACATTTAATTTATATTTTTTTTTCTAATTTATAAAAGTGTACATAATATCTTATTATAAACTATATTCATTTTTTAAATATTAATATGGAATATAATTGCTTACCCTTCCCATTCGTTTTTAATTTTTGGATTTCTAGTGTTTTCTTCGTTCAATCATTATTTTCAAATTTTAATATAATAGCAATTACTTTTTTTATATACATTATACATTTACTTCTTACGTAATTTTTTTAAATTTAAACTTACAACGAGAAGAGATAAAACAAAATAAATCTTATAATTATTTTAATATTATGTAATTAAAAGATAAATTTAATTTGATAGATTAAAAAAATAAGGGATTTATTTATTTTGAGAGTAAAGGTAACTTTTTTTTATTTAATAACTTATATAATAATTTATTTTAATTATAAAATTATATAAAATATATATATATATATATATATATAATTTAATATGATAAAGGGAAAATATTTTTTTACACTGATATTATAAAATATTTAAAATGAACGATTTTGAAATATTATAAAAGATATTTAAAAAATATAATATACTCTCTCATGGATTATAAATTTTAGAGTATATTATTTTAAGATTTAATAAAAAATATATATTTTTTATTAATTTTATTAAAAGTAATGACTAAAATTAAGGTGTAACTCATTTGATTACTAAGATTTGATTTTGGCTTCATTGTTCTCCTATCTATTAATCACAACAAAGTAACTAATTCTTTCCTTAACCAGTCGTTTAATAAAAATATAAGCAAATTAATTATAAAAATATACAAATTCTATTAAGCAACTTTTTTTTAATATGACGTTAAATTTCAATATTTTAGGTTTTTTAGATAAATTGATAGCAAAGGAATTTTGTTCAATTTTATTATACAAATAATATTTATTATCTTGAAAAAGAAAAAAAAATCAACCATTTGAACCACTTGTAAGTGTTAACAGGATAATCTTATAATTCATTTTCCATATCTAACATAAAATCAAATCAAATCAATTTTAGTGCAGTAATTTGTAACTTTTATCCTCTATGAATAAATCACTTTAACTTTTTACCACTTATATTGTTTCACTTTAGAAATTAAAGAAACCTTAGTAATGAAAATTTCTCTAATAGTATTTAGGATAGAAAATGAAAGATGAATCAAATAAAACAGAACTAAAATTATAGACTAAAGAATAAAAAAAGATAGGAGAAAAAAAAAAGCAAGACATGAAAGTTGAACAAGTTCATAATTGAAACATGACATGAATTACGTATTTTTGTTTAAATTATTTTTTTT